AGACTAGCAAGAGAAGGATGAAGTCAACTTTTTTCCCCTCTTTGGTTGGACGGACTGATTTTTGCCACGTTGCTTGATATTTGCCCATATCTCTGTGACTTAAACTGTGATTCCGGAGCTCAGGAAGCCGCCTTGATTGATAGCACTAACATAAGAAGGCACTGAGCTAATTAAATCACACTGCTGCTTCCCAACACTACTGTCACAGCCTGACCTAATTTTGACACTACAAGGCTTATCAGCAGAGTATCTATTGAGTTAGGGGAACCATAATGCTGTTTCTAGGAACAGATAGATTTTTTTTTTTTTTTTCCCCTTACAACTCATTACACTGCTGTTTATTGTTCTTCCTGCTGGGCAAGTATTAAAAAATTATGATCTATGGCATGTGGTGTCTGTCTCTCCGTATCTGTTTCTGGAGTGGTAGGGATGGTCTGGCTCGGAGAGGGATGGGGAAAAGGCCACAATAACTCTTCAGACATGAATATGGCTGAGATCATCCTTATCTCTTTTAAGGACTTCTTTCTTACTTCAAGTGATTTGGAATAATGAAGTGGTCACTGTTGCATCTCAGAAGCCGGCATACTCTGCTCCTGCTAATTGCAGTGAACTGCTGGAGGCTGCCTGAAGCTGGCAGGGACCCTGTCCTGTGCTGGTGAAGCACGAGAGAGAACTCTTGCAAAGGTTTTTGTGCAATTTTTTTCTTGTTTTTGATCTGAGAGGTGCAAGTCCAGATGTGTAGATCCAGGATGAATCAATACATATCAAAAGACAGAGGTGGCTGGGGGCATGTGGAAAAGGAGGAGGAGAAAGGCTTCACCTTCTAGCTGTCACTAGAAGACTGAGAAGCTGAAGATGCTTTTTGTGGAGGTTGAACCCTCTTATCAGAAAAATCATTTACCCTTCGATCTGTTTTTAACTGGATGATGTCACAAAGTCACATGTAAACAAATATCTCATGCCCCAAACGCTTCTGAGGTTAACTTAAAAGTCAGGAATAAATACTTTTTAGATTTTGTGCATCTTCTGTTTTGAGCGGTTAGGAGACAGCGCAATCACAATCACATAGACTAGGACCTTTTTTTTCCAATAAGAACTGAACTGGCCATTTATTAATAAGATTTACAGCAGTTGAGACGAATACCAATTATTGTACATGTTGTGATTAAGGTCAGGAGAATTACCAGCATGTTAAACAGAAAGGCTGACTGGAGCACCCAGTTGTCCAGGGTCTCTTATTTGCACCACAGCTACACAAACGTAGTGTAAGTCATGAAGCATCTCCTTGCTGAGTATTTTACTATTTCTCACTTGTTTATTTGCTTTTTCTGGGTGACCAGCTTGGTTTGAAAAAAACCTCTTTTCTACTTACTCCTGCACTGCTTTAGAAAATACATTTTATTCTGCATGTTTCCCTTCCAAGGTAGATAGCATTTGTCACAGCATCTGGTTTGTCCTTTGTCCTTTTTTATTAAGTGTGTCTAGATACCTGCATGCATATTCCACTTTGGACATTTCTAATTTTGCCTTCACAGAAAATTTATTATGTTTTTGTTTTTTTTTTTTTTTTTTTTTCCCTAGGTCTGTACTGTCTGGGGAACTTGTTGCAAGTTGAAACCAAATCACTTGTGTAGGCGTGTATGTGTGCGCAACAGACAGAGAAGGGAAAGAAATTGAAATTGCTGGAAAAGAGCAGCCAATAAAGGGGGACCTATGTAACGTCAATATGTAATGAGATACGGTGAAAGGGCAGGCTGGCACCATTTTTCATCTGCAGGAAGAAATCTTATGGCGCCACACCATGTCTTTGCAGCAGGAGCCAGGCAGGGTTGCTCCCGGTTTTGTCGCTGTGGCTGTTCCTCCTGACCTGACACTTCGCTTTCCTTGCGCCGTGTGTGCACCTTGCTGGGAACAGCACTGCCGTGGATTCTTTCACGCAGTATTTGCTGTGTATAATCACAAGACAGATTCTTCTAAAGTGGCACAAACAAAATAAATGCCAAGTATATATTACTTTAATGTCTCGTCTGGTATTAAATCCTTGGAGGCATATTTCAGAAGTAGCTGTAACGAATATTCCTGCGGTAGAGAGGGAGGTGACCTTTCATAATTATGCAATGTCTTCTGAACCATAAGACTTTAAAACTTAAAGAAGTAAGACTATTTTTTATTTTCCTTTATTTGTTTGATCTCCTCTTAAAGCAGTGTATTCTTTTGCCATAATCATTCACAGGGGGGTATTTTTTCTGAATTGCCTTCCCAAACCTAATGGATATGGAGCAGTGGCATAGACACTGAAATGAAGGACACTTCAGATGTAATTTGGAGTCATATGAATATAATATGAATGAAAATGTAATATTAATGTAATATGGATTTAAAAGGCAGCAGGGCATTGGCATAATGTTGCTGACTCTTCTAATTTTATCAGAAGTCTCGTGATCTATGCTGAACCTTGTTTTACCTTCCCGTTCCCTGGCTCTGCTTTACCATTTCGGTATTTTATTATCTGTATTGTGGGAGATCATAAAAGCCCCAGTCGTGGCCCAGAGCCCTGTTGTACAGTGGCTGTGAATGGCAGAACAAGGAGGGTGCTCCATGGCCCCCGACACTGAACTCTTGAGGTGTGTGGAGGGGGAGCAGCTCTCCAAGCACAGGGAAAGCCGCAGCACGCCGAGCATCAGCGCTGCTGTTCTGCTTCAAAAAAATAATTAAGAATTAACAGAATCCTGGAAGGTCAGGGTGTGGCACATGGGACTGACTCCTAAACAAGGATGTATCTGTCCTTGTAGTGAGCTCCATGGGATGAGCAGCTTGGATCTGTGGTACAGAGGGGTGGGTGAGTTCGATTTGTTTCTTCCTAAGAGTTAAATAGCATCTTTCTCCTTGCAGAGCACCAGCTGTGGAATTGTACGGGGCAGAGGGGTGCTGGGGCTGCAAAACAGTTCTCCTAAGCAGGAGGGAAGCAAAGCTGCAGCAGCTCCTGTGTAGGGAGGCAGGTCGATACACTTGTCAGACTAAATGTGGCCACAGGTTGAGCACTGTGTGTGTGTTCAGTCATCGTGTTGTACTTGGAAATACCTGATGCTAGGGAGCGATTTTTGCCGGCCCCACAAACCTGCTGAGAGCAGGGCTGCTTTGGTCTTTCACCTTGCGTTCATCTTTGCTTAAACAGCAGAACTTGTCCACGGAGAAGGGTGGGCTTGCAGAGTGGCTGGGGGAGCAGAGCTTGCTGGAGGCTTCGTTGGAGCTGGGCGCCCGATGGGAGGCTGCGGGGAGCTTTTTGCTCTTGTGCCCACTTGGTTAATCTTGAGCGGCCCCACCAAACCGTTGCCTCTGCCGATCTGGTGGTTTTCCAGACCTCTGTCACCTCGTACCGTTAGGTTTGTGAGCACACCAGCGGTGCAGGAAACATCCACCCGCTGCCCGAGCGCTCCTGCCTGTGCCGGCGCTCTGCGGAGAGGTTCTGCCGAGGACAAGTCTCTTAAACACTTGATGAAGAGGTTAACCTAGGCCAAACACATTGAAAAATGATCTAAATATAGTAGAGTGAGATGGACAGGGGCAATGCGAGGTATCTGGGAATATCAGGCTTAGTCATTACCGCCTGAAATAATTATTCTCTTCCTGTTCTTTTAGTTGACCTGCCACTGTCCTGTTCAGGGTCCTTTGCTTGAGTCTCATTTTCTTCAGCCTCTGGAGAGCGAGGGTCAGAAATTTGAATTATTATCAGGCCTTGTATCGGTTCTAGGCGTTGTGCGGCACAGCGGGGCTGTGTCTGCTGGGAGCCGTGGGCGGGTCGGACCAGTAACGGCGCGTTTGATGGGGAGCTTCCGCGGGGGTGCCGGAGGGATGCAGCCCAGGGGTCCCGCGGGCACTTGACGTTGGGTCTTAGCTGAGCAATTGCAAATTGATCAGAGCGGCAGTAGATGGGCGACGTGCAGCTCAGAGCCCTGAAAAGGGAGCTGCAGCCTTGGGGGGGGGGGGGGGGAGCTGCTGTTGCAGGGGATGGGGGGAGAGCGCAGGGGTGTTGTCCCAGCAGCACGGGGATCTCGATGGCTTTGAGCTCTGTTGGGCTCAGCTCTAATTGTTCTGCTTGCTGGTGGTGATTTAAGACTTCGGTTAGGGTTTTAAGGCACATCCACTTTTACTGATCAGGAGCAGTGCACTGACGAGCAGAGAGGGTGAAATACTGGGTCTTTAAAACTCAACAGAACTGCATTTTATCTCTTCTGCTGTTTACTTTATGTTACTTTATTTGGCAGTAGGACTGTAACTCAACTTTCTCATCCTATCGATCCACGCTCTGAAAATTTTAATAGTTGTGAATTTCACGGTTCAGAAATAAAGAAAATCGTAGAGCCAGGAATGTGCTTTGGAGACTTGCTGAAACAGAGCTGTAATTTGTACGTGCAGTATTAGCAACAGCGCTGCAGTTTTCCTACATGTACAACATGTAAAACGGCATAATTTTCTGTAGCTCAGGTTGCATAAACAAGAAAATTAAAGTTAAGGGTTCTGCTTGAACTTAACCTCTGGTCCAAATCCTGATCCCTCTGACAGCAACAGGATTTTGGTATTGACTTTGAAAGGCAGCAGCATCAGTCCCACTGTTTCCCCTGCTTAATTTTAATGGTTTAATTAAGGCTTCTCATTTGCATAATGAGTGTGATAATGCATTTAGAAAGGTATATAATAAAAAAGAACAATAATGCAGAGTTCATCTGGAAATGGAGACAAAAATAACTGGCATGCAAATGAGTTTGCAAAGGTCTCGTTCGGGGGATCGCTAAGGCATTGAATAAATACTGTGGCAACCTCTTCGGGCGCCAAATACGCGTGTGCTGAGTGAGCAGAGGCGTTCCCCGTGGTGAAACCCCCCAGCTCCAGCCTTGGCCCTCCCAGGTTGGGGTGTGCAGGGATCCCAGGCTGGTGCAGAGCAAACCCCGGGGGTGCAGGCGGCGGTGCTCACCTGGTTTCTCTCTCTCTGGGTCTTGCAGCCCCCCCCACGGTGCGGATCGTGCACTCAGGCCTGGCGTGCAACATCGAGGAGGAGCGTTACTCGGAGAGGGTCTACACCATCCGTGAGGGAGAGACGCTGGAGCTGACCTGCCTGGTCACCGGCCACCCTCGGCCACAGGTGAGCCCCCGCCGCGCCGCCGCTCTGCTCTGCCGCTCTCTGAGCCTCTGCAAGTTGGTTTTATCTCCCGCTGAGGACCGGACTGGTGCAGGGTGGGAGAGGTCGAGGCAACGGGAGCCCGGGGACGGGGTGGGGGGCACCGTCCGCCCTGGTTGGGTTGATATTGGGGTGTTGCGGAAGGAACGTCAGCAGCGGCAAAGATCGTGACTTCTTTTGAGTGACCGGCTGGGAACGCGGCATTTAAAAGCAGCAGATCTCTGTCGTACCTTAACACTGAGTCCTGATGAGAGTGTTGGGAGAGCCGCGGAGGTTGGTAGAAGGGAAGGCGAAACCAGTACGAGGAGAAGGACAACTGGAAGCAGATGGTATGCACCAGAGCAAACCGCTGGAAGGGGGGGGCTCGTGGGAGTCGTGCTGTGCGCCCGGGTCTTGGGTGTCGGCGGAGCCATGGCATTGCAGCTGCAGAAAACAGAGGTTAAACAGAAAGAAGGCTACCCGCTTCCAGGCCTAGCTCTGTTTTATAGCATCCTATTTAAAGCCAAAGAGTCTTATCGGCCTGTGCTGCGGCTGTGGCCCCCTGTCACCACCCTGCTTTGCCCAGGGGACCCCATTAACAGGTTATTTCAGAGCAGGAACTTTCAGGACCTGTGCAAGTGTAATGCTTCATTCCCCACCTCCTCACCTTTTCCCTTTCCACCTTTTCCTTCGCACTTTGAACCAATCCTGCTCTCTGTTCCCTCTTTTGCCGTTGCCGCTTTGCCTTCCGCTCTGTCCCCTCACCTTGCTCTGTTGGTGAACAGGCTGGGGACGGAGAGCCGAGCCTGCGCCTGGAATTAGCTGGGGTTGCCACCTTTCACAGTGCATGTATTTGTAGGAGATTTCGCACACTAGAGTACCTCGCAAGGATCTTCTTTGCAAGGCGGTGAACTGAACACCTCCCTCTCGCAACCGTGTAGGGCAGGCGGAGGCTGTGAAGTGCAGTTGGCCGGGGTTGGGGGGGGGGGGGGATTCACTGGAGATCTCAGGTCTGCAGACAAGTGCTGTCCTTCCAGGAAGGAGAGATGTGCTGGTTCTCTGCTGTTTATTCCATAGCTGTTTCCAGTTTGAAGAGAAGATTTAAAAATAAAGAAGTTGAAGTTTAGCCTGTGCTGGTTCTAGGGAAGGCATAGGTCAGGCTGTGTCTTCGAAAACTACCTTAATCTGCCCGCAGTTGTACATCAAAGCCACGTTATAAAACAAGCCGTTTTTCTTTTAAATTAAGTGATGTCTGTCTAAGCCTTTGCCAGGTGAAGGAGAAATAATAAAAAAAAAAAGGCCTAAAAAAAAAGATTGGGTGAAGTGTCCATATACTTTGATAACACCCCAAATAAAACCAGTGATGTTTTAAAATCCTTTCTGTTATTATGAATTTTAATATTCAGTGCCTCACAAGGTATGAAAAAGTATTTATTGCCCTGCTGTTGTGTTCTCTCCCACTGCTGATTGTCCCCTTTGCTGCGATGGCGCTCACACCACGGGAGGTTGGTGGCTCAGGGAAAGTTGTCAGGGGACATTGTGGTGGGAAGATGCTGGTGGCTCCTCGTTGGAAGAGCCAAGTGAGAGAGCCCGGATTGATGCGGGAAAAGTCGACAGTAGTGTTTTAACGTAGGACTGCCTGAAGCAGGGAGGGAGCACCTCTCGCCTTGAGGACTTGCTGTTGCTTTTCAGGGGGTTTGTGCTGGCGTCAGGAGCTGTTCAACGTGGGGGAGATGGGACCTACCCCGGCCGGCCGCCTGCTCCAGCTGCCTCTCTGGAACAGGTCCATGTCTCTCAGTGCCTCTTAATAATGTTGGATTCATTCCCCCTTCCCAAACTTTTCTCATCCAGGCTTATTTAATGACTATTTAAGATCTGAAGCAGATGGCTCTGGATGCAGCAGTTTTTGGCATGCTGCGTGTTTGGGTGGAAGGAAACAGCATCTTCATGCGCGAGCAGAAAAGAGCAGGATCAAGGTAGACAACACGCTTCCAGGGAGCTTCCATGGAGGATGTTTCGTTCTCAAACCACCTCCTCCATCTGCTCCAGCAGCCTGCGAGGTTTGGTGCAGCTAAAAATCAAAGATCCCTCTCAAACCTGCCTGCCTGGAGAGCCGAGGCAGCTTCAAAGTGAGCGGGGCTGTTACCTGTCAGGAAATACTTTGGACCAGCTCGGAAAGGTGCATCTCAAGCAGTAACAAAGCTTACGATGCTGCTGAATAAAAAATAAAATAAAGAAAAGCCGTTCAGCCAAAACGCCTTATCAAGAAAGCAACCACACGGCTGTTTTTTTTCATAAAAATCTCTATTTTCTCATCTGGGATTCAGGGTGGAAAATTGATTTCTCTTCATTTTACCTGTTTATAGATTTTCTTTGTCAGCCAGCACCTCGGTCTGCTCTCTTGCACTCACTCTCATGTTGCAGCGCTCTGAAACTCGCAATATTTTTTGCAGATTAATTGCCTGCAGGCAGGGGGATAGTTTTGGTAATCTCAGATGGGTGATTCTACAGCAAAATACAGGAGGCTTGGCAGGGCTGCGTTTGAACATTAGCCTTTTTATCACCTTCCTATTAAATTTCCATTCAATTTTAGTGCTGTGGAAAGTTTTGGTTTTTTTTTTTTTTTGTTTGTTTGTTTTGTTTTTTGTTTTGTTTTTTGTTTTGTTTTGTTTTTTTGTTTTTTTTTTTTTGTGTTTTTTTTGTTTGTTTGTTTTTTGTTGTGTTTTTTTTTTTTTTAAAAAAAAAAGGTGCGTAAGACTCCATAGCTTTTTTCATTGCCACATTTAAACTCTGGCATGCAACTCCATGGGAACCACAACCCCTTGGACTAGTTGCCTGTGAAATCTGGCTCCTCTTAAACAAGATTGCCTTGAATTGCACCCACAGTTTGTGTTGCTTTTGTCAATGGGGCTGCTGGGGAAAAGCACCGGTCAGGGTCAAGCAGGAGATCAGGGTGGATGTAAAATCAGCAAGCTGGTGCTTGCTATTTCCAGCTGTCAGAGAACTTGCCAGTAATTACTCTTGGGTATTTTAAATACAGATACTGCACGATTTTTATTTGTTTTCCTTGTTGGATACATTCTGCTTCAGGAGCCTAGTTCTTTAGGGGGAGGTCTGCAGTGTGTTTCTGTTGTGACCAAGAGGCAGTGTCTGGCTGGAAGGGGTGATATGGTATCTATTTTTAAGCCTTCCTATTTTATATGTGCAGAATTTATATATGAAGCTTGATAATATATTCTTGTTGGATTCTCATGCTCAGACAGCCTCCCGTATGAGATGGGTTTGAGGGGAAGTATCTGGCAGGATGCTTCCTAGTCTCCCTGCAGTTGCAAGTGGTGAAAGTACATTTTTATGTTTCTTTTTTTTCTGCAAGAGACTTCCATATGCATTTTGTGGTAATTGCCAGTCTTTTTAGTACTTCAATTTTTAACCAATTTTGCACAGAAGGTTATCATATTTGGTTTGCAAATTGTATGGAAATTATTTTCAAAATGATATTTTATCAGACCCTGGGAAGTGAGTTTGTAAAATATGTAATTATGTATCTATTCTAAGAATGCTGTTCAACTTGCGTGTGTTTCTCAAACTTTTTCAATTATCACTGGCATACATAAAAACTCCTTTTGTTTTAAGAACTGTGGGAAGTAAGCAACCCTACCCTAGGCATAAAATCCCCCGTCGGTGTTCACTGTATTCTCCCCTGATTTAGGAGCGGGCAGAAAACTCACATTAACCAAGGAGAAAACAAAATGATGAAAGCGTGCTGTGAGCGGGGTGGTGGGACCATCCCTCCTGCATCCTTCCTTCCGAGAAGTGGCCTTCGCAGCCACTGGCGTGGCTTGGACCCCTCCGCCTTGGAAAAGCACTCGGGTCTCCGGAGCTGTGGGTGGGATTGTGTTTCGGTTCTCGGGGGGCTGTGTCGTGGTCACTTCACCCACCGCGGCAGCGAGTAACCGCGTCTGGCTGGGTGCTGGCCGCCAAAATACAGAGTGTGCAGCACCAGCGTTACTGCTGGCTTGAAGTCTTTGCAGGTTTTTAGAAGGTCACTTGCATTAATGAATTGCCATAGCCTGCTTTATTCTATTTTAAAAAAAAAAAAACTATGGCTCTGGGATATATGTACATTCCCTCTTTTCTTGAGTAAACTCAAGTCTTGGCCAACTGCTGTCCTGTGCTGCTCCTTACCTTCCAGCAGCAATGGTTTAAGGGACCCTTAGGAATTCTTGCCTGGGAGAAAGGCTGCTAGATGTCTCGCAGAGCAGAAGTGCCACCCTGCTGTGACAGCGGCTCATGGAGGGCGAGAAGGATGTGAGCAGGGGGCCAGGCAGGGAAGTGGTGCCCCTCTGCACCCAGAGCAAACTGCTTTCTGCACGTGCTGCTCCTTCCCTTGCCTTGTGCCTCTGCTAATTGGTATTGCTTCGGCCAGCGCAGGTGATGGTGTTAAAGCCAAACAGGGGCTGCTCCACTCCATATGTGTTATGTTCCACCCATAAACACAGGTGCCCTCCCCACCACCCGGGGATGAGAGTTGAATTTTGGGCTTGGGGTTTCACAAACATTGTGCTGGATGGTTAACTGCTTCCATTCCTGCTCAGTGAGGTGTGGGAGCCAGTGCTCGAGTAAAAAGATGGTTCAAAACATAAGGCTAGTGTTAGTAACATGCTTTATTTAGTGTCCTTACAGCAAAACTCTGGAAGTACCTTCTGCAAGCCTTCCGTTTGGGGGATAGCATTTAAGAGCGGGTGCAAATGTTAAAGCAGAAAGCTCTCTTCCTGATTTGCAAGGTGAGTTTCATAATTGAGCACCTTAATAGCTAGGGGTTTGGAGCTACAGTTAATTACACCTACAAAATTAAAGTCTCTTTAAAATCATGCACTCTACTTAACAAAAATTTTTTTTTTCTTGGTTTGGGGGGTAATTAGCATTCACCTGCTTTCCTGATTCTGAGCTCACAGTAGGGTCTCCCCAGCTATTGAGAGGCAGTT